GATTAGAGGGAAATAAAGATTACAAGGGAAACACAGCACATCTTTGATCTTGTGCGCTGCCAGGAGTTCAGAGGCACTTTCCCTCAGGATTGATCAGACTTTCTCCAATTACTATTATCTTTATAAATACAAAGGGCCGCCATTTGTGGAGGAAGTGAGAGGGCTGGCTTCTTCCATGCCGCTGCTCATGCTGTTGAGGGAGACGGCTATAGCATCCCAAGCCCCCCAGTTGCAATTAGCCCCTGTCCCCGTGCCATGTGCTTTGCAAGAGGCACAAGGCAGGGCCTGTGCACTGGGAGGGTGCATATTACAACTGAAAACAAAGCAAAGCCACATGAGCTTTCTGCTGAAATGGTTCCTCTGCCCCTGCAAGCTTGCACATGGGGTCAGCGAGGGGCTTTGCTGGGAGAGAGGTGTCCTGTACCCCAGGGACTGGGGAGCAAGGGGTTAGTTATAATTATTATGAGGCTCTGTGACACTGCTGTGTCCGTACCGGGATGCTAAGGCTCTGCTGCTCTCCCTCATGCTTCTTGCGTCGCGCTCCTCCGTGCCAGGAGCCCCTCTGGCAGGGAGCCGCCAGGAGTCGTATCACATGGCAGAGCCTCAAAAGCTGCCTCCACCCTTGCACCGTAACAGCGGGGCCTTCCACAGCCTCATAGAGACAGGTCTTGGCAAGCTACAGCCTGCCGGACCCTCCTGCTGGTTTGGGAACAGGGCATGCATGCACATCTCTGCAGGAAACCAAGGGTTGGGGCAAGCTTGAGAGTTTCATCAGACACGGGTCTTCAGGGCAAAAGTCCTCCTCGAGCTGAGCTGGTTCTCATTAGGAGCCAGTGACGGAGGCCCACCATCATGCGGCTGAGCAGCAGGCGGCCCATGCTTCTTGCACAACAACAAACCCCCTGGAGACTTCTCCTCTCCCAACTCGAGGCGTCTGAAGGCCCTCCTCAGCCAGCTGCCAGAGGCCCGCTTCCCTGGTGCCGGCAGCGAGCCCGGCACAAAGGCAGCTCTGGGCAGGGTGTGGGCAAGTCGCCCTCTTTGGAACAAGAGCGCGTTTGCTTTAAACAACACTTCTGGGAGCATTTTAATTAAAACAATATTGATTTCAACCGAAATCCAACCGCTGGCAATGTTTCTATTCAGACAAGCTTGGGCAAATGATGCTCTGGAGGATGTCTTCATGGTGCCCAAGTACTGAGCCTTTGAGACTACATCTAAAGAGAGACACATAGGACGAGGACACCCAGGGGGGTGACCTCTTTTGCTTCCCTAAAGATGCAAATGTGCTTGGTCAGAAAAACTATCACACCGAATCAGGTAGACTTACCATCAAAATGCTCATCAGTGACAGGCTGCCAACACAAATTTATGGGAAAGGATCAGCCATGGAAAATACGGAGTAGCAATCATTCTGCCTTGTGTCAAAACCAGCAGGCTTTGGAGCCAGTCTGGGAACAGCGCAAACTGCTCCAAAACCCATCTACATTCCTGATTTCCAGTCTCCTGTACATGGAAACTTTCAGTCTCCCTTCAGTACATTAGTGAATACATATAGTGAACACCATTAACTCTTGCCAGGTGCAACCAGTCAAATATTATTTTAAATATCATTTTACTTTGAGTACCAAATGTAAAATTGTTCGCAAAGGACAACAGTTTTGTCCACAAGTGTCTCTTCTGAGTGGCCTGCGAGTGGCATGCCAACTTCTCACTGCCTGTCTTAAAGATCAAATGAAGCACATACATACATACATACATACACAGAAATTTAAGAGCACATGAGCAGAGAAGCTCCTGAAAGCTGAAATCCCGTAAAGCAAAGTTTCTCACTCAGGTAAAATTCATTCTCTTGTTATTTAAGGACAAAAGAGCAACTCAGGACTCAATTTGGACAGTAACATGCTGTGAGCATGTCGGCTGCACACGGGCTGCAGCGCTGCCAGGAGACCTCTCAGCTAGATTGAAAACACCTGATCTGCACCAAAAGGCAGCAACAATGCATTAGCAGGGGATTTGGGGAGAACAATTAAAAAGAGCAGCTTGCCAAAGGGCTGTGTGACCCCTCCGCCCCCCAGCCAGGTGAGCAGCAGCCTTACTTGGTGAACGAACTGGAGAGCAGTCCGATGAAAGCAATGGCAGCTCCTGAGGCTGCTGTTGTCCTGCAGCCGATCCGGTCTGTGAAGATGCTCACGACAGGGGAGCAGAAAAAAATCATCCCCATGGCCAAGGCACCGACCCATGCTAGGAAGAGTGAGAGAGACAGAGAGTGAGAGAAGAAACACAGACGTCAGGACTATTTAATGAACACGCGCCAGTAAGAGAAAAAGCAGAGCACAGGGCGAATCAGGGACCAACTCCAGCTTTGGAGGTGGTCTCAGCAGAAAGGCAGTCCCGTTATACACTTAATTACCTGTACAGTTCATAAATAAGACCATTAATGCTTGTGTTCCTTGTCAGTATCACTGAGCGCTGGCACCCTTGCTAATACTCAATCGTGGTGAGGTCAGCAGCGCTTAGTGGCTTTACCTGTGTGAGGGAGACATGTCTAATTTTTCCTTTTATTTGCCTCTGCTAGGTTCCTACATGTCCTAGGAAAGGAGTCCAGCTTGCAATACCTTTTTCTAGTTGCTCTTACAGCCTGTCCAATGATGCCTCCATTGATGCTCTTTGTATACATGAGATATCCTCCATGGCCAAGAGCACTCATGGATTCAGAGGACCTCAGAGCCCCCTGTGCCCAGTTCTTGGCTATTAGGAGCTTGATAGCCTGAGTTATATAGCTCTGTTTTTTTAGGTGCCACAATTATCCATCATTGTTCTCCACGCCTCCCTAGAGAGTCAGGATTTCTTACCCCTCCCTGTTTGTCATGAGGCTTTTCTTATAATGCTGAAGGTGTATTTTCATTGCAGTGCTCTTCCCTAACCCACTAGGAACAGGACATACCCAAAGCAGAACTAGCAAGGCATATTAATTAAATGGCAATTTAACATAACAACATAAATAGCTCATGATATTCAAATTACAGGAACTGGACGTCATCAAGAAATGAAAACCAGAGAAATGGCAACACTTAAAAGGATGAGGTCCAAGCCCTACCGAGCGAGACTGGCATGGTCCAGAAGTTAAAAAAACAGAAAAAAAGAAAGACGCCACAGTCATGGGAAGGGACAGCTCTCCCTGATTAACGTCTCACTGCTACTATGTTCTTAAAACTGCATTCAGAAGGCTCACGGGAGACCCACAAAGCTACGTCAGGTTAAATTACATCCCCTGCTCTGTTGGGTGATATCCAGGCAGGAACATGATCTCATGTCCCTGCTCTACCTACTTCTGGAGAAAACCACTGTCTGTCTGTCTGTCTTTTTTAAGAAACTTTCACTATTATAAGATCACTTCAGCCCTTCCTCTTCTCCCTGCCCTTCACCTTCTCTTTTCCATGGTTTCTTTAACTACTTTCTACAGGAAAGGCAGGCTTTCAAGAAAAGTAGTGGCAAACAAAAATCTCTGTCTACGAGCTCCGAGGAGAAGCAAATCGGGAATGCAATGCAGAAGGTGCTAGACCTTGACCAAGCAAGGTCTTCGGCTCAGAGGAAGGCAGGAGGGATGAACAGTTGAGAAGGTAAGAGCCGGTGCTCTGGAACAGACCAACGGCCGTCCAGCCACGGTGGGAGGAGATCAAGCCCTGCAGAGCACCAAAGTGGCGAGATGTTGAGGACTGAGGAGCATCCCTCAACGTGCAATAAGCTCCTGCACCAGCATGACAGTGCTTGATACTGTGCTCCAAGCTGTGGGGACGCAGATGGCCTTTTCACATGAAGAGGATGACGCAGGTCCAGTTGGGTCTGTGTCAGAGGTTTCATTTCACAGACAATAAGGGCTGCAAAACAAAGTGCGGAGAAGATGATACTAGGATCCACTTGGCTCCTTTGCAAACGTGAACAACTGCAGTCTCCTCGCACAATCCCACGTTAAATCCTCAATCCCTGCTAACGCCCAGCTCTGACCAAGCACCACGATCAGGATTGCTTCTCACCCTCCCTCGGTGTCTCAGCTGCCGCATGTGGGCTGCTCTCCCTGCAGTCACAACAGCTCTGTCACCTTCCCAGGCACCGCAAGGAAAGAACGAACCCATGCTGGAGGAGAAAACAGCCTGATCACACAGCAATGACCGGCAAACAGGCAGGCAGGGCAGCCCAGCAGACACTGGCGAGACACGATTCTGCATTAAGTATTTCTCTGCGGCGTTAACTCTCCAGAGGCGACCTGAGGGGATCCTTCTGCTGATCTGCAGTGTGGAGCAGGGACCAACGTGGGGACCTCGAGCCACCTCTGCAGGCTGGCCCGTGCCGTGCAGTGCCTGTAGTCCTCGGACAGACCCCCCTGCCTGCTGGCCTCCAAGTGTTGCCAACTGCTGACAGATCGCTCTATAAATAAGAGTGAGATGACCTTTGCGGCACGGCTCTGCTCCCAAGGCCCTGGTGATTCACTGCCCAGGCTGTTACCACCAGCTCTCTGGGAAACGCGGGGACCCAGCTGCTTTTGTGGCCAGACTTCAGCATATGACCAGCCATTTGCACCAAAAGTAAGAGCTCTGCAAACCCTTTTAACTCAGCCCTGCGCGGTAACAACCAGTCCTTCACTAGCCGTGAGATTTTCAGAAAATAGCCAGGTCTCCATTAAAGGAAAATCCCCGCTACATAACAGCCTCTTCAGTCTCTGCCTTTCAAAAGGGACCACACAAAGAAGCCCTCTTTAGCCTGGGAAGAACTGACCCTTCCAAATTAATTATAAGTTCTCAAGAACACAATTTACTCTGAAGTATTCCTTAATAAATTCTGACTGAAGTGAAAAAAGAAAAGTGGAGGCCTAGCAGGAACCTTTTGGGACTCACTTGGATCCCGTCTCAACACAATATGAAATTAAAAAGAGCGAGGGAGAGGGAGCGGACCCCCTCTCTAGCTAATTTTCGTCGTTATAAACACAGCGCACAGTATAATGAAAGTCCTTCTAATAGGATTAGATGGCACCACTCCAAAGAGCCGTCCAAGGCAACTACAAAAGAGGGTGAGGGGTGGGAGGAAAGCCAAGATGGGAAAGGCTCGTTAAATTGGATAATATACTTTCAGAAATGTTTCTTCTACTTCAGCCAAGGCAGTAAAATGTTAGATGGCCCCATCATGTTTGAAGTTTGTTATTTTTGGAAATTGCTTTAAGAAACACGGAAATAAAAGCATAAAGCAGGCATTACATTTAAAGGGCCAGATTCTGATCTCAATAACCCTGAGATTTACATGCAAATCAGCAGTATCAGTATCTGGCCCAAAATGCACACTTACCTGCGGGGATCAAAGCAAACCTGATGTGAGAGGCTCAGTGATGGGAGAGTTGAAGCTGCTACAGATTTCAGTTTGTAAAGGGAGATATCGCTCAATTAGAATCGGTAAACAAACAAACAAAAAAGATTCCCATGGCAAATTGTTCTACCTTACAGAAACGGCTTACCACAAGCGAGGAATAAAAATAGTTTTCGGTAATAACATCAAGTTAAAATTAGTAAGAACAATAGCCTCACTTCCAGAGTACGCTTTTGTCTTCACAACCAAGCCAACCCTCCCAATGGCCCTGGGAAGCCGGGAGGGCTGGTGGAGCTCCCGCTCTCACAGATGTGGAGCTGCAAGGAGCCTTCCTCTCAATCTCAAGGCACGAGAAAGCTGCTAGGCCCCAGGCCCCTGCTCTGCTTCTTTGCAGCATGCTTAGCAATTCGCACCAAAATAACCCCCCAACAGCAGGTTTCACAACTACCCTTGTATTTTATCTGGAAGGAAGCAGAACGTGGGAGAGGGAGGGAGCTGTGCCAGCAAAGCTGCAGTGAAGAAGGCTCTTGTATCTCCCAGAGAGTTCATTTTACCGTGTTTCAGGGAGAGGCCCGAGGAAAGCAATGGTGAGAAATCACAGCTCAGAAAAATTGGAATTCTTACAGTGTTTTGCACCAAACCTGCCTTTACGGTCACGGACCCAGCCCTGCTCTGCACTGCGATGAACACAGCTCCTGGAGGAGCTAAAAGAAATCATTCGTGGAAATCAGTTTAACATCGTATTCAAGGGTCTCAAGGACTTTCCTGGATCACTGCTGATATTAATGGCAGACATCTCCTTTCCTCGAGTGGAAAATGGACTGGGTTTAATCAGCTGTTGTCACGTCAGTTTAGCAGGTCTTCAGATGTTAGAGAAGTTGAGACTTGATTCAAAGCCCACAGAAAAAAAGGGGAATCTTGCTTCTGATTTCAATGCGTTTTGGATCAGATCGTTAATTCCTAGCCCAGCCGCACCTCAAAAATCCTGTCAGATAATCAAGGCAATATATTTAAACATACAAATACAAGCCCCCACAAGACACATGAAGTCTTATCAGCAACGCAGCGTGATCAAGCACTGTTGCAGCTGAGTCTAACAGAAAATATGGATAAAATCCAGCTCAGCGCTGGATTGGACTTAGTTCAAGTCCTGTGCATAACCTGGATGTGAATCAGGTTGAGACTTGATCGAGTCTCAAGGTGCTGGGAGTCCAACCATTTACTGGAAGCCGGAGTTGAAGGGGCTTATTTTGGAGCCGGCTCTCAGAGGGACGAAACGGCTCATGGGCCGCTCCCAGTGCAACCGAGCATCCGAAAATCCACCCGGCACTCCCGACGCAGGCTCGCCGCGACAGCAGGGAGAACAACGCTCCCTTTGTCCGGCATCTTCTCGCTCGGCGCCGCTGCCGAGACCCCCGCGCTGCCCCGGAGCAGCTCTGCGTGGTAGGGAACGCAGACGGTGCTTCGCTTGGCACCCAGCGAGCGGCGAAACAGGCTCAGAAAAGGTTAAAGCTGAGCGTTGTGCAGCACGAAACAAGTTCATTAAAGCCTCCAGCCTGATCCCCCTACAGAGCACAGTCACAAGGCCCCACACATGCTTCACAGCCAAAAAAAACACTCTCTGAGGGATGCCTTTGCACAAATACAAAATACTTCATAAGGCACTTTTTAGCTGAAAAATCTCATTTAAAGCACTCTCCCTTTGCATGTGGGGTGGAGAGTGAAGATGACTTGTGATTTTTAAGCGTGGAGTCGGCAATGCTGTAGCTGGCTCAAAGCAAGCTGCCACTTACAACGTGGCCTTCAACATAGGCAGGAGGAAGACAGCGGCTGAACATCTCCAAGGAAGAAGCGGATGAAGTGGAGAGATGGAGGCACCGAGGCCAAGGCAAGCTCTCCTCTCCCTGGCCCCGCTCGGTCAGGGCTCGGAGCAGTCAAGGTTCACAGTCAATCCATCCTTGGAACTGGTGAGGAAGGCAGCTTCCAAAGGGCCCGGGGCTGGCTTCGGCAAGCTGGCCCACAAACCAGGGAGGAGGCCAGTGCAGAAAGGCACGTGCTTCTGCATGGGCTGCAGCTGCACCGCCTCGCGTGCTGCTTAAAGGAGTGCATATTTCCTTAAGAAATCCCTTGCAAATCCCACACCCATTTTTCTCAACAGCCCTCTGGCATCTAGGTGGGCTTCAGATGGGCACACAAGGGGGGGAGCCCAGCATCAGGCATGCTTCAGCCACGGCATTGCCCCAGCAGGCCAGTGGCACCAGTCCTGGGGACCAGCAGCAGGTGGTTGGCACAGACCCCAGCAGTGGGGTGTCGGGACCCAGGAGGCTGGTGTTACCTGGGGACCCTAAAGGCCCTGTGAACACCAAGGTGGCGTCCCAACACACCAAGGTAGCGAGCGCCTACACACCATAGCGAGTTCATGACACCAAGATGCTGGAAGTGATCAAAGAGTTTCAGTCCAGAGCGGGGTCCCATGAACCAGACGCTGAAACGCTTTCTTTCCAACAAGGCCATCCCCAAAAGATGCCAAGCTCCCTTCCCTACCATTAACTGGGAAAAGGTTTCTGGGAGTCATGGAGCAAAACAAGCTGGGAACAGAAAGCTGGAGCGAGGTAAGAAACAAAAGGGGAAAAAGTAATCGCTCCGAGACACAGATCCAAATTCCCTCTGGTATTCAGCTCATTGTTAAAGCTTTCAGAAAAACATCATTAAAAAGCATACCGTGAGGTACACGCAGTCTAGTCTATTTGTTCCTTTAAAAATTAATCTCCTGGGAGACAAAAGGAAGGGACGCTGTTCCCAGCTATGCAATTTTCCCACTGACCCAAATTCCTCAGACTGGATGGATCAAGGACCAGGAGGTGACTTCAGATCCGGCCCTGGGCCCGCATAGGAAGTGTCTTCCCTCGTTTCCCTCTGTTTCTCCCCCTCAGACTGCTTTGCTGGCAGGGGGCTGGATGCCAGCAGCCGATGCTGCAAACGCTAAGCTTTGCTCGGAGGAGAGACTGGGCAGCAAAAGATGATGCACCCATATCTGCCCAGCCACATCTTTCCTCCAAAGTATCAAGTTATTTTTCGCCTTGTGCCATCGCTGCCGACGCTTTTCTGGGTACAGGGAAGGCCTGGAGCCCTGCTGCCTTAGAGACCTCACCACACCTCTTCAAAGGGCTTCCCAGCCTGACTTGGTCCCCATTCTCTGGTGGCCTGGGAGCCAAAACAACCTTGCAGGTCCTGTCTATGGAAACACAGCCTGGGAGGCAGTAGACTATAA